GTTGTTCTTGGAAATTTATTTTCTAGATGGTAAACAATCACATAAAGTATTTAAAATTAAACTATGTAAGTTTTTGTTTACTATATTTTAAAATAAATTTAGATTATGAAAACAACACTATAATCTGTTCCTGCAGAATATCTCCTTTGTTAAGAAGATGAAGGTGAATAGCTTGATTTAATTAATACTGTCTATTTTGATGAGCTTACTCTTTGATGTTTTAGTGTCGAACAAAATAAAAAGTAGAAAAGTTTTTAATCCTGCTTCCCTTGCTTAATGTAGATACTGAATTTCACTGGCTGTTGTCATTATCCTGATTGTCATTATCCTGATATTCAGGTTCAAAAGTATCAAAGAAGAGGAAAATGTCAATTTAATAAAATGAAGACTCTCCTCCACTTCTCCCAACAACTGAAAAAAAACCCAAAAGATTAAAAGGATAAAGAAAATAATAGCTAATTCTCCAATGACAAGTTAACTGAAACAAATATTTGAACTAATAAATGTCTCTAGATACCTAGATTTACACTTTGTTTGCCTTGCTGTAAATAAATGGCTGCTATAAGTAAGAGCAGGTGTAAATGACTGTGACTGCACTGTATGGATAGTAAAGGCATATGTCTTGATGGAAAACAAGGGACAAAGACATGATGAGATTCAACTGAGAGGGATTTGGGACTTAACTCCTCTTCACGTTGGAGTGAAACCAGATTCATAGCAGTAGAAGGACTCCATAAACATAATTCACTAAAATGAGAGGTTGATAAAAGGCCTTTTTTCTTGCCTTTTTCAGGATACATTACACCCGATGCTACAGAAATGTTTCTTTCCAGCTTCAGATTAAGTGTGCTTGTATAATAAACATTTCCTTAACATTCAGCTTCTTTAACCTAGACAGCTCAATTAAGGCTGTATGATAAAATACAACTTCCATGCGCTTTGTGAGCACTTAATGTGATTGAGGGCCTGTTAGCAAGAAGTCTCGCAGAAAATAGGTCTTGTCAAGTGTTTAAGGAAATTGAATTAGCATTGTGTTTAACATATATATGTAATATATATATTCTTGTAGATTATTTGTAATTTAACTTTATTGATGTAGTTTAGTCTCCCTGCTGTGTGAAAACCTCTTATTTATGATCTCTCCTGTTTGCTGGAAAACTATGGGGAAACTTGGGAAATTATTACATGTAGGCACAGATGTTTAAAGAAGTCTGGAACTTTGAAGACGCACAAAGAGTACGGAGAAAGCTTCAGTCTAAATCTCGAAATTGGCATGAATGGAAGGTAAAGCCAGTGATCCTCTTGACTTGGAGTTGTATTGCTTGATTATACATAGTTCTTTTCTGGAGGAGAGTAAATACCAGGCCTCTTGCAGGATTGGTTGAGGAAAAGACATCAGATGGATGAGAGTTCTGCACTGTATACTGGAGACTTTGGACAATCAGCCCGATCCATTCATCTGTGATTTGTCTTAGAAGCTCTTTCCAGACTGTAATTCTAGCCTTTGTGAGGCACCCTTAGAGTATCATAAATATTGTCATAATTATCCACCAAATAAAGCTTCAGTTTCTTAGACTGGCTTCCAGGGACCTCTGAGACTGGCCTTACTGTAGTTTACCCTACTTTGTGTTCAGATTTCTATTTGCTGACGTGTGTAGGACTCCCTGTTTTGGGCCAATGACTTTCATGTGATTCATTTATTTAATTGGAACATGCCTCTCACTTTTGATGAGAAATCAGTCTGTATTATCCCTTGTTTCTCCACCTTTCTCCTCTCATTCCCACCGTGCCGTCTACCAGCCTTTTTGCTGCACCCTTTCAGGTGGACCCTCTATGTGAATCCTTCCCTGGTATCTCAGCTAGGAAGAGTCTCCCCTCGAGTTCCTTTATTGCTTCATTTTTACTTCTCTTATGATAGATCAATTTCTACGTGTATTATCGTTATTTTTGTACCTGTCTCCTTTCTCTTGAGAGTAGGGCTGGTGACAGATTCTCTGTCATGCTTGCGACTAGTGCTGTATATTCAACTCTTATTTTTCCACTTATATTGAACATATTTATAAACAGGTCCTGCTTTCTGAGAACACTGACAATAGTTTTTTGAATATACATAAATACCATATATACATATAATTCAAGTACCTATAATAATGGTGTAAGAAGGACCTGAATGATGATGAATACTCAAAAATAGTTTACTTGTAGAGGAAAAGGATCATAGTGTCTTCCTGAAAATTTTGTTACTTCTAGCTGAAAAGAGAACTCTTACAGACTGAACAGAGAGAGGAAGTTCGGGGAACATCAAAAGGTAAAGAGATTAATTTTTAGTGTTGCAAGATGTCTCTCCAAGGAGATAATTCAGATGTCAATTGCACTTCTTCTTTACTAGATTGGTTTATCATCATGGTGAGGAGGAAATGTGAGAAAGTGTCTGAGCTTTTCAAAGGGCTTGGTTTACCCGTGCCCCAATCGCACAAGATAAGTGGGCCTTTAGGGAATTCTTTATTTGCACTTCTAATTGTTTTTGTAAATGTGTCCATAAAAATTCATTCAGAAAACTGCAGCAGATTTAAGGAGATAAAGTAAGACCTCAGATGGCTGTTAGTAATACAAATAACTTAAGATGTTTTTGCAAATTGCATGTCAACCACAATTAACAATATGATGTTTATTTTGGGGAGGATGGATACCCTTGATAACTCTCCCAGTTATCAGAGGTTCCTTTTATAATGTCTTCGTAATTGAAGCATTTTGCCTTGCATAAGACAGGTGGGTGTGTAACGAGTGTTGTCGACCGTTTGTGCCGATATAGCGTGCAGACGCCGGCTCCGCTTTGTCTTGTGAGCAATGGCTGTCCACTCCGTGAAGGGATCCACGCAAACACTGGAGCTTGGATCACAGTTACCAGACACTAACAATTCTGCCAGGTTGTAGCAATTTTGGCATTCCCTAACTCACATGCAGTGTGATTGTGGGGAGATTTCGAACAAATATTGATTGGTGAGAAACAGATGAATGTCATGATTACCATGTTTAGCGCTCCCTTTTCTCACTCGGTGTAGAAATCATCTACCCTCTTGAGAAGAGTAAATAAGATATTCTTTACTGTGTGAGAAGCTAGATAAATATTTTCTTTTCTACCACAGAATGTTTTCTGGTGCTTGTCAAAATTTCTTGTGTGTGCTATGATTCTACACTCTACAGCCGTGCTTTCTTTGTTATAACACTGAGCTTGCACTTGGTATTAATAAAAGCCATATTTGGAGACTTATCGAAATGGATTTAAAAGCCAGTCAGTTAGTCTGGTGATTAATCTGCCGGCCCTCTCCTCTTGCCCTCCCATTGCAATGCTCACCATAAACTATGACTGAACTAGCAACCGCTTTCCTGATGAGGCACGGCTTAATGATAATGATTTTATCTCTTCTAGGGATGTTTTTGTGCCTACACTCTATCATCTTGATGGCTTTGTTTTTACCATAAACATCAAACGGCACTATATAGGGAACATTATGTAACAATTAACCACATTTTAATTTGTCTGACAATTATGGCGACATAGTGCTGTCATGGAAATGGACTGCTTTACTACCATATTAAGGATGCTGAGTGTAATATCTTCTCTGTGTGAGACATAGAGATGTTGCTCCCATCAGTTAAGAGGGTGTTTGGCTGCAAATAATAGAAAACCCTACTACATACAGAGTTTGAACAGGCTCTGTCATTCTTAGTATGTAGAATGACAGAAATTTTGGTTGCAAGCTGACTGCTACACCTCCAGAATTCTGTCTGGGTCCCAGGCAGGAAGAAGGAAGGAAGAAACAGGGCCACTGTCTGCATCAGGAAATCATAACTTCCCAGAATTCTCAGTTTACACCTTATAACCATTTATTTATTTATTTATTTTAAAAATATTTAGTTATTTGGCTGCAAAGGGTCTTGGTTGTGGAATGCGGGATCTTTAGTTGCGGCATGCGAACTCTTAGTTTCGGCATGCATGTGGGATCTAGTTCCCTGACTAGGGATCAAACCCAGGCACCCTGCATTGGGAGCGCAGAGTCTTAGCCACTGGACCACCAGGGAAGTCCCTTTATAATCATTTAGATACGCCTGGTTTCAGTAGAACTTAGCCACTGGACCACCAGGGAAGTCCCCTTATAATCATTTAGATAGGCCTGGCTTCAGTGGAATCTGGGGACTACTGCACCAAGTCAGATCTTTTTTTTTTTTTTTTTCTTTGATTGTAATTTTTATTATATATACTCAGCACAGTATTCAATGCTTATTTAATACGGCTGTGTCTGTTCATAATTATAAAGCAATTTGAGCAACACTGATTGTGCATTATTACACTTCAATTGAAAAACCATTACATGCTGAACCAATATCTTTGAAATTTTCAGATAAAGAATTTTCTTTGGGAAGGCACAGAATTATAGGTACTCAATTATTGTCAATTTTAGGACATAATGCTTAAGAAGGATAAACATACATAGCATAAAATTACATTTCAGTTTATCATTTCAGTGCTATTTCAACCACTTATCCTCTATATCTTGACATTCACATGAAAGAATAGCAATCATTAATGATCCAAATGCAAATCATAGTGAAACTCTAGGCCTCAGTTAAATATTGTAGTATTTTAAAAGTTTATATGATTAAAAACTGAAGACAAAATAAGCTGTTAAGTGATAAATAGCTTACTCAGTTTTAGCATAATTTTAATGTCAAAACAATACTGACATTAAAAAAACCATATGAGGCAGATAAACAATATTCCTTTAGAAATATTAAAGAATTTAGTACAAATGTGCTTACAGATTTTACTTTTTGGTTAATACAGGTAACATGCTTCTTAAATAATCTCTTCTTTTCACTTTGTCTATAAAAATAAAATTGTCCTCAATATTCTTAAATTCTTTGTTTTCTAAATAAGGCCATTATTATACAGTAAGTTACTGAATCAATGGTTTAAAATCAGTGACACAAATCATATGTAGAAGGTGATGTAACAAATTTATTGTTAGGTAAAGAATCAGTACAGTACAGTAACCAGCTATACGTAAGAGGTAGAATTCTTAATCACAGTTTTATAGAAAAGATGCAGTAGTTTATATCTGTACTGTTTTATTAGCTATAGTACTTTAAGTTTGCTTCTTATTATGAGTGTATCAGAAGGGGAAAAAGGAGGGCTCTTCATAAGCAAAAATCTTATTGGCCCTTGTTTTGCATGTGTTATAGGGGCTACTCCTGGACACTTAGGAGCATTTTCTTGACCAATTAAGGTAATAATACCTTATCTCATTTTTAAAAAGCTTCAGAGTTGGGAAATCTAAACTTCTTTTCTGAAGAAGAATAGAGGGAAATATATAAGAAGGAGGGAAATATCTCTTTTTGTACCACTCTTGAGTGTAAATTATAGATGAAAGCATTCTCTCTGGATATCATTATTGCTTATTAAGAATTCCAGCAGTACTAACCCACAGAGGTTGTTCTACACTCAAGTTTATAAGTTGATTGTTTCTAACTTGTATATGTCATAAACAATATTACAAACGGGTATAACCTAAAAATTCTATTTAATTCATTAAATTATTAGTACTTGAGTAAGACAGGATGGCAGAGACTATAGGGTTATTCACATATTGAGTTTTTAAACTTCTGTGGGTTTCTAATCCTTATCTGAATGTCAAATAAAGTGATCAGAAAGGTCACTTTATGAAAGTTGTAATAAAGTTGTAATAAAAATAAAATTTATACCCAGTAGGGCTTATGTTTTGTAAAATGTACCTGAATACTTATAAATGATAATTCAAAACAGAATAAAACAATTGTAAAAAAATAAAACCCAGTTTCTTCCAGTTAACTGGAAATTAATCTCATAATTTATACTAGGATTGAGTCATTATGAGCCAATCAGATTCCAAATACTTTATTTATAGTTTAAGTGAACTTTATTTTGAAAGGATATTCTCTAAATTCTTTTATATTGAGTTTATTCTTTTCTTACTGATTTTGAGAACACAAAAGTGATATTTACTTACATTAGGTCCAGATCCTTTTAGCAATATTTCCTTCACAACTGCTGGTATTAATGTATTATCCAAGTCAGTAAACACGTTAAAACTAACATAACACTGTTGATAATATAAAAATAAAATGATTTTCCCTCACATTTAATTTTAAAATCTATATTTTGGTTAAGGATTAGACAGAATGTATTCCTATAGAGACTGGGAGCAATCTTTATTCTTCAAAGAGAAAATCTGTCCTAATTTTAATAAGTATGACTTAGCATTTTTAAGAATTATTCAAAATGTCAGCTTTTGGGAATGTAAGCTAGGTATATAAAACTATTTGCTATTAAAATGAAATATATTTGGTTATAAAAATCCCACATATCTGTTTTTCACAGCTATGTTTCTATTTACATTTAGGAGATACATATGTAAAAAGAGAAAAGTTGAGTCTTTGTCTTCTAAAGATATCCATGATTAGGTAATTCTCAGATGATTTATAACTTAATATATTGAAAAACTTCTACAGTTAATTTGTAATTGCCACATTTACAAAGAAACTTCTGGGTAACAATCTTTTAAAAACATAGTTCAGTGTTACATTTAGGCCCAAAGTTCATTTATTTAAATCACCTATGACATTTGCAAAATTTTTTCAAATGTAGGAAACTGCCGTTATTAATATGGCTTCATTCATTTATACCTGCAAAATACTTGTTATACACTTAAGTACAACTGGAACAATAAGATTACTTGCACAGATGAAAGTGAAGCCTTTCCTTTCACGTTAAAATTAATATTTATTTCACACTTACGGTAATGCCTGAAAACGTTTTGCAAGCAACTATTAATGGTCTTGACTGTAACAGTTTATTGCATTTTTCTGCCCCTTTTTTTGAATGTTAAGTACTCTACTTTGGAGTTTTAAGTTCTACTTTTCCTCTTATCTTCAAATAGACTCTTAAGCATATATACTTGAATGGCTGACACTACCACCATTACCACTAAATTAACCATAGACCAGAAATTTACTCTATCAAAGTTGCTTTCTTGTATGTTTCGATCACGAGCTTCAAATGCTCTAAGCAGAGTTTGGATATGACCACTTTTGCTTAGTCTGGACTTGATACTGTTGATGGACTCCAGAATGTCTTCCAATTTCATATCCAACATATCTGTGCCAGTAATGTATTTCTTCCAGTCCTCTTGTTCTTGCTCCTGTTCTCCCATATTATCCAGGATTAATTCAAAGAAAATCACCTTCTCAGAAATGGTGCTGAATGTATTATCAAAGCAGAACATGTAGTCACCACCTTCAGTCTCTATCGTGTGAACTCCATCTGATTTTCTTTGTTCAAAAACTAAGGTTCTTCCTTTTGGAGAGGCAAGATGGAAATCAATATCTAATCCTGCTCCATCTAAAACTTGGTACTCGATCTCCAGCGAGGCCTTCAGGGGCATGGGCTGGTAGAAACACTCCTTCTGGCCGGCCGGAAGAGTGAAAGTGAAGTCGCTGTCTAAGGAGGGCGTGAAGCCGGCCGCCCCAGGCAGCAGCTGAGAGGCCAAGAGGACCACCGGGAAGGGCAGCCAGATCTTGTCGCCCATCCCTGCCTGGGCGATCTCGGGCTGGAAAAGGCGTGGGAGGCGTGGGTTATAGGCGCCTATGCTCCGCTTTTCTTCCCTGGACTCCTCGTGGTTGGCAGGGCCCAAGTCAGATCTTGATTCTGCATCAAAAGAAGAGAAGATAGGGCTTCCCTGGTGGCGCAGTGGTTGAGAGTCCGCCTGCTGATGCGGGGGACACGGGTTCGTGCCCCGGTCCTGGAGGATCCCACATGCCGCGGAGCGGCTGGGCCCATGAGCCATGGCCACTGGGCCTGCGCGTCCGGAGCCTGTGCTCCGCAACAGGAGAGGCCACAACAGTGAGGGGCCCACGTACCGCAAAAAAAAAAAAAAAAAGAAGAGAAGATCATGAGACGGAGTCAATTAATAGTATCAGTCATACTTCTCAAATATGATTTTCAAATAAAAGAATTGAACACTTGTTGACAGTTGACATTTTCCATGCTTTGGAATCTCACTCTGCTGGATCAGATATTCCTGGATAGTGGGCTGGGTTGGGAAGAGTTGGAGAGAACTAGAAAACTGGAACAAATTGATGATTTTAGTTCCCAGGTCATTTGGTTTGGAAACCAAGGAAACCAAAAGAAAAGTCCTCTGCTGACTGAGACATGGCTGCTGATTTTCATTCTTCTTTCCCTTTTATGCACTCTAACCTTATCCTTGAGATGGGGAAGCTTATAAAAATTGCCGCTCCATTGCTCATGACCTGCCCTATGAAGACAGATATTTTTGAGAAGATATTGTGTTCAGGTAAGAAAAGCCTAGACTAACACCTGTAGGAGAGAGAAAAAGAAAGGAGAAAAAAACAGGAAATGCTGGCAAATATCTGCCAGGAAGTTCGTGTTTGTGAACCTTTGCCTGGTTTTATTTTCAGTATTTATGATTTTGCCAAGATTACGGAGTCCTTGATATTTTATTGTATCCTCAGTACTTTGTGAGGGAAAGGCCGGTAAGTGATCAATTGCTTTAGGCAAAAGTCATTCATTGGTGTCAGGCCAGATTTTCGTAGTTAATTTTATATTCTGACAATTATATAAATTAATCCAGTAAATCCAACAAAGCCTACCAAGATTTGTCTGGATTTGTCATGAACATTAAAATGTCATCAACATACATGGTAATTTATAGTGCCTACGATTAGCGGTAATCTTTCCTGTCTCCTGTGAGAATCTAATAACCAGAGCTAATGGCTTTAATGCTAAAATAAACAGCAGAGAATCCGAGCAACATCTCTTCTTTGTAGCTTTTGGAAGTGGTGTGGTGTGTGTAGAATATTTTCACAGCGCTTTTTTTTTTTTTTTTTTCTGGAAGAATATCAACTGCTTATTCCTATTTTAAATCAAAGTGTTTCCATGCATCACAGAACACATTGTTTCATTTGGTGTGTTATACATCTTGTATTCAATAAAGTGGTAATTAGAATTCCTATGGTAAATATTTAGAATGCTCTAACAGGCCTATGTATGAAATTTGAAAAAAGCTGTTCCTAGGAAGCTAGAGCTTGTGGCACATAGCTTGGCAAAAGCAAAAATTGGGCTGCCTTTATTCCCTGACTTGCCACTTCAGCTAGGTACTTGTGCAGAGCACAACCTACACGTGACGAGAATCTACCCTAATAGTAAGATTCTAAGTATTGAATGAGTATAAATGGCATACCTGTAGACGATTTCTATTACGTCCCAATACTTCTGGATAGCCACCCTGAAGAGACAATATTGTGTGGCAAAAATCAATTAATTATCTGTTTAATATGTAGAACCATGCAGATATTTGGATGTTGGAAAGGCTGAAGTCCTTATTCTGTTTTTGGACTGTACCAATACATATAAATTCCTTATCAATTATATGCCAGGCACTTTCTGTATATAAGATCCCATTTACAGTCACAACAAGCCTCATTTTATAAATAGTGAACCTAAGCTCAGCGAGGTGTGCAGGAAAGGGGTAACCAGCAGGCCTGGGCTGCTGTGCATTTCCTAAGTCTGTTGGCTCGTGGGAGATGACCTCTGAGCCTTTGTAGGCCTGAGGGTCCTACACCACATCAGACAGGTTACACTAACAATATGATTTTTGGTGAATAACCGTTTTTGTATGCCTGAAGATTTAGGCCACTCTAGCAATTTGACCTCTGGGAGGTTGTTGTCTGAGAGGCTGAGTTCAGTCATACAGATGTTGTATCCTATGTGACTGATAGCCAATAAAATCTCTGGACAGCAGGATTTGAGTGAGTTTCCCTGGTTGGCAACACTTCACATGCATTGCCACACATTGTTGCTGAGATAATGAAGCACTGTCCATGTGACTCCACTGGGGAGAGGACAAATAGATGTTTATACCTGGTTTTTCTGGGACTCCTCCCTATGCACTTTCCCCTTTGCTGACTTTAGTATGTTCTGTTTCCCCATGATAAACCATATATGAATATAACAGCTTTTCTGAGTTCTGGGAGTCCTTTAGGAATTTATTGAGGCTGAGGGTGGTCTTGGGTATCCCTGACACTGGAGGTTATGTGACTTGACTTGGTCATGCAGATAACTGTGGCAGATCAAAGATCTGAACAGACACTTTTGGCTCTTAATCAAGTGTTCTATTTGTGCCGATTATCTGTTGGAAACTCAACATTGCCCTCTTTCTATGCTCTCCCTTCTATCCTCCAACAAAGAGCATTCCTGTAATATATAGAAGGTAGATGAGAAAAAGATACCATATTTTTGTTCCCCTGGCAGTGGGGGGAAAATGCATGGGCTTTAGCAGACATGAAATTTTGCGGTGACCTTCAGGCTTTTTTCTGCAAGTCACCTGTCTTTGTGGTGGAGGTGCCTAAATTTATTGTCTGCAGTTTCCTATAGTTCTGCAAATTCCTACCTTTCTCAAAGCTAATAACAAAGATTAAATCTACTGGTGGCCTTCCTGGACATTATTCTTTCAGGATTTCCAATTGTTTAGTAGTCATGTATTTTCCTGTATTAAAGCCATTCCTATTTGAAAGACCTAGATTGCATCTATTTTTCTAACTGAACATTGAGAGAGTATTTGGTACCTGAAGTGATTCCAGAAAACAAACTGCAAGCTAGGATTGCAACCACTGAAAGAAGAGAAACAAACAGGATGACCTTTGATTGCCCAGACTTCCTTCTTGGAGACAAAGAGTGAACCATGTTGTAGGAAGAGGAAACCCAAGCAGAGTATAGCAGTTTCACTGGGTTGAGGGGACAGAGGTTGGAATTAAGTAGGCTGAGACAGCTGGAATTTGTGAGGCATTGTTCCAGAGAGGAGGGAGCTATGTACAGAAGAAGCTCCAGAATTCTGTACAAGGATTTTCTTGAATCTTTGCCTGAATACTATGCTTTTCTATATATACAAGTGAGACTCTACGATGCTGGGCAATGAAAAACTACTAGGTACCTCAAAGCTGAATAATTCCCAGAGTTCACACAAGGCCTAGAATAGGTTATGTTCTGATGAATGACAAAGGAGAGAATATATTGAAATTTTTATTTTTATTTTTATTCATGCAGCTATTAGGTTGTTTGTGCAACAAATGGACAACTGTAAACCACTGATGTTCACCCTGTAGATATGCAGCCACAAAACAGTTGCAGGGATCTTTGTAGCCACACTGAACTCTGCCTATTCCCCTCCTCTTAATTTTCCCACTGCCATAAAAAAATGGGTGAAGAATCTTAATAGACATTTCTCCAAAGAAGACATACAAATGGCCAATAGGTACATTAAAAATGGTACTCGATATCAATAATCGTTAGGGAAAGGCAAATCAAAACCAATGATATATCGCCTCATACCTGTTAGAATGGTTATTATCAAAAAGACAAAAGATAACAAGTGTTGGCAAGGAGGTGGAGAAAAGAGAACCCTTGCACACTTTGGCAGGAATGTAAATTAGTACAGCCATTATGGAAAACAATATGGTGGCTCCTAAAAAAAATTAAAAATCAAACTACCATATGATCCAGCAATTCCACTACTGTGTATACATCCAAAGGAAATGAAATCTGGATCTCAAGAAGATATCCACACTCCCGTGTTCATTGCAGTATTACTCACAATAGCCAATACCTGGAAACAACCTAAACGTTCATTGACAGATGAGTGGATAAAGAAAATGCACACACATACAATGGAATAGTATTCAGCCTTTAAAAAGAAGGAAATCCTGCCATTTGCAACAAGATGAAACTGGAGGACATTAAGCTAAGTGAAATAAGGCAGACACAGAAAAAAAAAAAACCATGATCTCACTTATACATGGAGTCTAAAATAGTCAAACATGTGGAAGCAGATGGTAAAACGGTAATTGCCAGTGTCTGTGGAGAGAAATGGGGAAGTATTAGTCAAAGTGTACAAGGTTTTGTTTTACAAGATGAATAAGTCTTAGAGATCTACTGTACAGCATAGTTAGTGCCTATAGTTAATAATACTGTATTGTTTAAAATTTGCTAAAAGGGTAGATCTTAAGTGTTATCACAAAATAACAACAGCAATAATAATATTAATAAATAGGAAGGCAGGAGGAAACTTTTGGAGGTGATGAATAAGTTTATGGCACAGATTGCAGTGATTATTCCATGGGTTATACTTATCTCCAAAATCATGAAGTTGTATACATTAATTATATACAGCTTTTTGCATGTCAAAAAATTAAAAAAAATTTTTTTAAGCAATTATAAATACGTTCAGGTATTTAAAGGAAAAAATAAACATAGTCATGAGAGAAATGTAAGATATATAAAATAAGCAAATGGAAATCCTAGGGCTAAAACACAATATCAGAAATTTTAAAGATTCCCCGTTGGACTTAAGAGGATACCAGACACTGCAGAAGCAAAGAACAGTGAGTTAAAAGACATAACAACAGAAACAAAACAATCCAAACTGAAGCATAGAAAATATAAAGTTGTAATAAAAGAATAGAGCCTGTGACATCTGAGACAACATAAGGCAGTATAAAATATTGTAACTGGATTTCAGAAATGAAGCAGAAAAATATTTTTGAAAAAATAGCAAAAATTTTTCTGTATTTGATGAAAACTATAAATCTACATACCCAAGTAATTCGATGAACA